CGCACACGCCGTGGACCATCCTCCCTCACATGTTTCGTAACCCAGTTTGCGAAACCCACTTACAATTACGTAACGTTCTGCGATCGGAAGTTGGCAAGTTTAAAACAAATAATTGTTTCAACATTTGCACGGAAAAGTGAAAACGAGAGCTTAACTCAAACATTCAGTACTTTTAAATAAGTGGACCAAAGTTTAGGAAGGAAATAATCGAAAATTTATCCACGCGAAACTATGTTTTATCAATGTTTTGATATTGACTTATATTAGATTCTTTTGGTTCTTAAATTTTCAGATCTCTAGCTTAGAATAAATTGTTTTGAAACATATTTTTATTTGTTGATTGCATCCAGGTATATTTGCAACCGCTTTAGACAGGAATAATTATTTAATGATCATACAGCTTTTACTTTTATTTTCGCTAGCATGTGATTAAATGAAGCATAAAAAATTCGATTTCTATTGCTGCTCCCGCGGTCTGCGCTGCGGGTTCTCGCTCGCTTGGGTTTCATTCTAATAGATATTCTAGCCGCTGGCATTTTTATTTCCAGTCGGTCAAGGTTAATTCTATATATTGGCGGGCGCGGGCGCGCTCTGTCTCCGTCGGACCGCTTTCGGCCGCCATTAGCGAGGCGGCAATGGGTTTATTATAACAATGCGATGCACACACGCCGAGCGGTGGCTTAGCGCGCCCGAATTAGCTTGTTGCGTGCACATGAAAACGTCGCGCCGTCCCGCAACACCGCGCGCGAACGCGCAATGAAATCATGTTTGCCATTCAATTACGAGCAGCGCGCTGTAAAAACCGCAGTCCTTGCCGATTTTTTTTTTGCATCGTCTGAATCCACCGAATGCAGATATGATAATTGTTTAATGTGTTTTTCATGTGCGCGCCGCGCTGATGAAGAGAACATCCAGTCACGAATCCTGTGTTCGGACAGGCTAATTGGTGGCGTGGTGTTGGATGCGATGTAACTCATCGAGTGATCACGCAAAATTATGCAAAAAATCATGCACATGTACCTATTACCTTATTGTGATACACTGTACAAAATCTGATTAAGGTGCAATCGTTAGATAAGGAGTTAGCGCACTAGAAAACATATTTGCAAGTAAAACTTAGATAAACACTCATAAAGAGTAAACTTTGAGCAGACACAACAAGAAAATTATTATTAATATTAATTTTATAAGAGATTATAATTTTGATGAACTTGATTATGTTTGTTACGATGTTGCATTTATGCAAAAAGTGGTAGATTTAACTTTCCCGATTAACTAACGTCTAATAATAGCAAATTAGCTGTTCCATTACCGTTTGAACTTTAAGATAATCCGGTAAAAAGTAAGTTTTACCTCCAATAATTGCATGTCAAATAATTAAATTTTTATCGATATTCTTCGAACCGCAAGAACGCGAGAAACAATCAAACAAGTCACGAATTGCGTAAAAAATATTACTGCATGTTTTACCTATAGGAAAGTACCTACTTGGAGCGTTTTGATTCGGCGTGTAATAAACGATAAATTGCAGCTGGTTTCGACGCAGATCCGACTCTGCGGTGGAAAAAAATTGCAAACTTGGTGTATCGTTCGGTTTGGTCATGCAAATCGCGAATTCTTATCCTCGCCGCTCGCGCCGCGCTTGTGTATGCGTGTGCGAAAAAGCAGTCGAAGGTCGTTTAGATAAAATTTGGACGGGCCGCGCTCCAAGCGCTAATAGCACTTCAAAACCGTCGCTACTCGAAATCTGAATTGACATTGCGAATTGCGATGCTACTCGAAAGTTACAGCTCGCGACATAAATCTTCAAAAGTCATAATTTTGCATCATGTTACAAGAAGAAGTTCATTGGATTTTTGAATGCAAATTTTATTTAGATTATATTATGCAAATCTTAGCAATTTTCGCCCAAAAAAGCAAAATTTCGATTTTTTTGCGCCGTGATAATAGGTTTTTAAAAAAATACGAAAGAAATGAATGAAACAATTTTCAGTAAAAAATAATATATATAAAAGGTTCCATTCAATGAATATGTAAGTAGATATTTACCAATATCGACATATGGATAGTAATAACAACGTTAATATTACAAAACTATAAAGACGTTTTATCTATATTCTGAACAAAAATACAAGATAATATTATGATTTTTTTGTTTTTTTGACATTTTTACGTTTTAGATTTGCAGTATTCATCGTAAATGTTCCATTATCTCGTGTCCGAATTTGACCCTCATTATACATTATTATTGCAGTGAAAAGTGGGTCAAATGTGTCAGACGTTTTAAACTTTTCGCAAGTATTAATTGGCGTATGAAACCAGCGCGTTTGCACATTTGCGACCCCGCGACTGACAATATGCCACATTCTAATCAAAATATTGTTGTGTCGCGCGATTACACTCACTTCCCAACAGCGCTGTGTGCACCGATACCGAATGTTTGGAATAATAATGCGCCGTGATAAATTTTCACGAAACTTTGCAATTGTAATTTGCGAGAACATCCCAAGCCGGTTATCGCTGACGTAACATTTTTGGTGCGGCTACTTTTTCGCTACTTATCTATTCTTATCAATTAATTGACATTTACGATAGGTTGGTGATATTTTTAACCGGAGTTTGTATTTATAAACAACGCCAACCAAGGCAACAAGTGCACTACATACTATCATTAACTGACAACAATTTGTAATACTAGAAATTGACTTCTTTTAAATCTTTTTCAATCAAAATAAAATCGTTCTAAATAAAATATTAAAAGTAGATAATTTATTAATTACTTAACAAGTTGATAAAAATTAAACAAGTGGAAATGTTTTTTAATTCAGTTATCCTGTTAACGATTCAAGGATGCAGGAACACATGTCCTGACGCTCGCTCGTCCCGTAAATATTATTGCATCGCTTACGATCGTGCGCTCGCCGTCGTTCGCTCAGCTTTGTTACTTCATAAAGAATATTGTTATGGGGCCGCGGAACAGCTGAGCATAAAAACAATGCAAACTGGTCTTTACGTCGCCACGACCGCTACGAGGAGCAGCACGAAAGAAAGACGCGTGTTCGGATGAATAAACCCGAAGCGCAATTGTTTCCGCCGGCGCGTTTTAGCTGAAACGCAGACGTGTCGATGGGCAATCCACCACAACAACAAAAAAAGCGTGCAGCGTCGCAACGACCCCCAAAACGAGGGGTGACTACCCTAATAAAATACACTTTCGTCTGGTCGCAGAAGTCACATAAAATCGCGCACGGAAAAAACAAAAATTTCCGGTCAAAAAGTAATTTGATAAGTGTGTGGTGATAAAAACGCGAAGCAGTCTGATTCATTAGTGAACTAGAGTTTCGACAGAATAATTAAGACTGAGAATGGTATAAAAAGAGTTTTAGTTAGATGGATTAAATGGGGGGAATGTGTCTGTGCGATGTTTGGGTGTTTGCGCGCGAGGGTCGTGACCTCGGAACGCATCTCGCCGAAAATTGTGCGGCAAAATCGCAAGCGCGACGCGTCGACGCTTGCAAAAAAAAATTGCACGCCGCGCAGCGCAACGGGCCCCTCTTGGGTTCACTCGAACTGACTCGCGGTCGGTTGCGAATTGCAAATTGGAGTTGCGAATCTGCGTGAGCGCACTTAGAGAAGGTGGCGGTGCGGGGGACGGGCGGCGGATTGCGTAGCGCGCCGATAATCGCATCTCCGCGCACGATGCGTTCCTAGCAACAAATATAAATAAAAATAAACGATCGCAACGCGTGTGCACTCACATACACGCGCGCACGCACACGCGTTGTTACGTATGTTCGTTTGTTAAATGATTAAATGATTCATCATTGTAAATCACGAGCTGACTTTGACTTTGAACAGTCGGCGAAATATAATTGAGGTATGCGAGTAATTTAGCGGTTCTTATCGGACTGCAAAGAAACATTCGAGTGCGTTATTTAGATGCGATGCAAGTTTAATTTAAGTGTGTCGTGTTGTTGCAATTGCGCTAGACGTAGTTAAATTTGTTGGTTGTTGGCGCTTCTTTCGTCTTGTCTAAGTGTAACGTCCTTTGACTCCTTCGTGCGTTCGCTGCGCGCTCTTCACGCATCGTTGCGTGCGCGACGATGGTCGGCTCCGTGTCGGCTCGCACTCCCGACGCAAAAAACCGTGTTGAAAAAGGTGAAAAACAAAGGACACCCGCGCGTTGCACGTTGCAGGAGTGAGGTTTTTTGTGGGCGCATGACTAACCTATCTCAAGATTCGCCAGACACAAACAAAACTGTTTTTTGATGATTAAAGCAAAATAAACATTTATAAATTACTTTAAATTGGGATTTTTTTGTTATTCAAGTTTCTGGTGTGAATTGTGTAGGATAAATGTTAAAATTAAGTTAGTTTAAGATGTCTTTTGTTAGGGAACTTTGGGCTGTGGGTTAAAACTTGAGGTAGAAAAAGGGTTTGTGCATTTTCGATTGTCCCAGGTCAGCAAACCTGTTTTCCGTTTGCATTCATACTCGTATCTTTACACATGAGCTCTTTAAAAGCCCAAAAACTAACAAATAGGAAAAAAAATTGTGTTTCCTTGTTTGGAAATACTTATATCATGTTTTTATGTTTAGTAATTATTATTGAAAGTTATCATTTTTTACATAATTTGTAATTTGTATAAAAAATTATAATGGCGCCTCCACCAATTTTTATTCTTGCCTAAGAAAATAATTAGATTGTGACATGAAATTTCCGATTAATCTTATGATTTGATAAACTTTCTGTGGAAGATTCTATTGTAGTTTAGAGTGTTGTTTTCTTATGTTTTGTGTTATTATAAGTTTGCCGGCGTTGCATGCAAGATGCGTTACTGCACGCTGCAGGTCGAGTTGCGAATGCACGCGAATAAAAGACCGCGGTGCGTTGGCGCGCGCGTGAGAGTTCCGCGATCGCGTCGCGGTGCGCCTGACGTAGGGTGGGGGTGCGGGGGCGCGCGGTCGGCCGCGAGCCGGCCCGAGTTGGCGGCGGACGGCGCGCTCAGACAGTTGGCCGGCGACGTCACTGCAGGCCGGGTCAGCCGTGAGTTTTCCGAGCGCCACCACCGACGGAGGTGTCGTCCTCTCTCCCTCGAGGAAACACAAGACGACAACAAAAAACGCGATAATTAATAAAACCGACTCGCTGCAGACGCGAACACAAAAAAGTGCTGCTCCCCGAAAATCACTCTAAATCGATGTCAAAAATCGAAAACTTTGCCGGCTGATGAACAAAGAAGTGCGTTTCGCGGTGATTTACTATTCGAGTGCAAGCAAAGTGCAGTGCAAAGATTTTCCGCCTTTGTGCAGGCGGCGGCAGGCGGCGGCGGCCAGATTATTTTCCTGCAACCGCGCGCGCGAACCAAGATGATTCCGTACTCGAGCCATCACCGACCGCGCGTGGTAACATCTCATTATATCGTCACCACAATAAAGAAGAAAACCAAGCAATAAAACAACACTCGACCTTATCATGAGGAGGAGGTGGTGAAGAAGTGATCATTTATCGCGCGTTGAAGAGTTATTTTGAAAACAAACGGACACAGGACACAAATTCGCACGCACTTCCCACGCATGAGTGTTTTCGGCACGGTGCGCCGCTGCTTTCGACGACACGCGCCCGTCACGTCGTTCACGCCGCCGGCGTCGCCGCCGCCGACCGCCACCACGCTGCCGCCGGCCAGTCGTCCAGTGCGTTACCAACAACGCCACATTGCATAATCAATGTCAGAAAGGTGCCTACAACTCTTTTTAAACTTACAATTTGTTTCCGCATACACTTACTTCGTTCTAATTAGTCATCATGCCCGAAAAATGTACGCAAAATTGATGGCATTTGTTTTTGGTTTGTTTAGCTTCTTTGCCAAAGTTATTTTTACAAGGGACAAATGTTCACAATTATGTGGACGTGACGCGCGCGCGCTGCGAAAAACGCGCTGACGATTTTTTCGCGTGCGTCTCAATTGCGTAGTTGCGTTTTCGTCCTCTCTCACGCGCGGTTCGTGTCGATGCCGCTTTATTTTCCACCAGGCCTGCGTGCGGAAAACAAAACGCAAGCCGCTCACGCATTTTTCGAACACATTTCCACGAACGGAATAAAACACAAAACTACTAATAACTCACATTACTGTAATAACTAATCATATTAGACGCCGAATATTCCAAAACAAAACTTTTCTTTATATTCGTTCAGCCTGGGCATTAAATGGTGATGCAAAAAAGTTTTTAATGCGTCGATTTATATTCGCAAATTGTACGATGGTCGTTGTTTTAGATTTGCATTCGATTGTGTAAGTTGCGTAAGGTGACTATTTCGTTTACTGGTATGGTGTAGATGGATTTTTTTGGGGCCGGGCCGAGGCGCGCAAATTTTCTAATGTAGGTCAGCTTAGAAAAGTGCGGCGACGCGTTCGCGAGAGACGCGCGTATCGCGAATATCGCGTAATCGATTGCCTTGACCATAAATTTGCGCGACGCGCGATTTCGCAATGTTTTTATTTATAACTGGATTGACGAACCGACGACGCACATTCAGCACTCAGCGCGCAGTGTGAGACACACTCGAGGGCCCTGCAGCCGCACGCGATTTATTGCGACAACGCGTGCGTTTTTCAATTTCAAGGATTTCCGAATGTTATTTATTAGCGACACACTGCGTTCACAGTTGGATAGAAAGGATGTGAGGAACTAATTGACACAGGAATGTCATTCAGATGATTATGAAACATGAAAATTTACCATCAGAATTTCAAATAAATTATTTATCAATGTCACATAAAAGATTAAAATTATTTATTTGTGCGCAAAGGCGCTTTGAGATGATTTATATCTAAATTGATGAACCAATTAAAATTAAATATTCTAATCGTGTAATTATTGATTTGTTTTGCAGTGTGGTCTGTCTTAGACATGGGAAGTGAGCACTATTGCCTCAGGTGGAACAATCATCAGAGTAACCTGCTGGGCGTGTTCAGTCAGCTGCTGCGCGACGAGAGTCTGGTGGACGTGACGCTGGCCTGCTCGGAGGGCCATTCGATACGCGCCCACAAGGTGGTGTTGTCGGCGTGCTCCTCGTACTTCCAGACGCTGTTCGTCGATCATCCCAGCCGCCACCCGATTGTCATCCTGAAGGACGTGCGTTTCGCCGAACTGCGCACCCTTGTGGAGTTCATGTACAAAGGCGAGGTGAACGTCGAGTACTGCCAGTTGTCGGCACTGCTGAAGACGGCCGAAAGTCTCAAAGTGAAGGGACTGGCGGAGATGACCAACCTGGGAGGCGGCAACGGCGCCAAGCAGGAGCCACGAGATGATCCGGAGCAAGAGCCGGAACAAACCGAGCCCACCGAGTTGGTGAGCAAACCGTCGGCGTGCAGTCCGCTGCCGGCGACTGCCACTACCACCAGCAGCACTACAACCTCACCGTCGACATCGGCGAGTGCGGCACCAGCAGAGGACATAACGACCAGGGACAGAGAACGGGAAGCAAGATGTGAGCGGGAACACAGGGAGAGAGATCGTGATCGGGATAGAGATAGGGATCGAGAGCGTGATCGTGAATCTCACCGCGAATCCCACCGTGATAAAGACAGAGATCGTGATAGGGATCGAGATAGAGACAGGGCTGAAAGAAGGGCTGAACGGGAGCGGGAACGAGAGCGTGAGCGTGATCGGAATCGGGAGCGAGAGCTTCGAGAACACGTGCCCACACCGCCCAAGCTATGCCACACGCCACCAGATAGAGGTGGAGGTGCTGGAGGTAGCCCGCCACCCGAACGTACCCGCAGCTCATCGGGCACACCGCTCACTTTGGAGGAGCAGTGTCGGCCCAGTGACATGACGCTGCACAACAACGGCACCGCCGTTGCATGCTCCACCATGTTGAGCACAGGGTGCAATCGGCTTCCTTCGCCCATTCTCAGCGAGCCGCTGCCTGGACCCTCCAACATGCCTCCCGTACAAAAAGTGCCTCTCGTAAGTATTTAATCTGTCATTTATACTTAGATTACCAATTCAAAGGATGCATTGTATCCGCATGTGTTTGAAAGCGATACATTGAGTTGTATACTGACGGTCAATGTCGAAGCAGTCATTAAGACATTAGCAAATTGTTCCGCCGCCCGTGCATTCGACATTCACATCTATTCTGAGTCGCGAACAGATGCAGGCTGCAAATTCAATTTTCGACGTGACCACTCGGTTCTGCCTGATTCTATACTCTGCGCGCTTTTGTATTCCTCACTCCTCATTCCATGCGAGCGATTGAAATGCGCTCGCCGCCGCTGCTACTCGCTGCAGCCAGAGAATGCACTATCATTTCTCGTCTCGATTTGTGCGTGAACGATAATCGCGCGCCGAAGCAGAGCAGAAAATTGCGACGGAGATTTCATGCGACGTTTCCTGCGCCGCCATTGCCTTTTACATTTCACGATTCTTCGCCGTTTGTAGTTTGTAGTTCGGAGTCATTTTGATCATGATGATGATGACATTACTTTTCTCTTTGAGCGTCTCACGTCGTCCATTATTGCAATTCCGGTTGGCGCGCAAACTAAAACGGGGGAAATTGAATTGAAAGTAATAATTGGTGTGTTTGGTCGTCAATTTTTTTGCGCGCTTGACTTTTTGTTCGGCTGGATTTCGAAATGGAAAAACGCGTATATTTGGTTTATTAATCGCGCCGAATTGAAAACTGCGTGCGGGCGCGCAATCCGACACGTGTTGAATTCATCGAGCGCTAAAAATACCGGCAAATTTTCGCACATTCCCACGCGGCGCGTGCCGAGGCTACGCGTTTCGCATAACTGCATTAATAAATTCCGATTCGACGGGTTTTTGTCAGAATTTTCGGCTTTTTCAACCTACCGATCATTTTTTACTACGGAAATAAAGCCATTAATGAACAAATCAACACGTGATTGACAATTTCGTGATTTCATTGCCATTATTCCGATGGGAAATTTGTACTCCCGACTTTAAAACTAATTTTAAGACAATTTATGATTCTTTTTTTCTATAATTACTGTAAAAATATTTAATTTGTAAATTATGTTCTTTAATAGGCCAAGCTAAGGAAACAAGTCATGCGATAATTAGTATTTTTTCAATTTGTTTCAGTCGCTGAAAAAGGAAGTGGACTGGGGCGGCGGTGGTTCAGGTGGTGGAGGCGGCGGGCTTGCAGATGATAAAAGCACAGGCGAAAGCTCATCGGATTATCCCAGGCATTCGCACGATCCTGTAAGTAACACTTTTGATATCAACCGTAAACAAATTTGATTTGAAACTAAGAAAAGTAGTAGACACATACGCAACACATAATTTAATGTAGTTTAGTTTTATTTATGTGGAGAGAATGAATGCCACGTAAAGTGTAACAATTAAATCAAGTGCTACCCAAGAACTCTTCAATTGGAAGTATTCTAATTGTTCCATTTCCATTTTCGTTGAAACACCCGTCTGGATACATATCACGCGCACAATTTATTGCTAATTAAACCATTTGTTACCAACGCTGCAAACAACAAACACATCAAACACGTTTAATCACGATTCTAGCAATCAACTTGCTTCTATATTTTTATATGATTTCCTGTAGGCTGCAATTTATTATTTTTCTGTAAACATTGCTGGTTGATTTGGAATGGGCAATCGATCTGAGTGGAAACGTAGATTGATATTGGCGTCAGCGGTGATGTTAAAGATGTGCGCGCTGTCAAGAAGTTGACAATCATATTTTGGCTTAGGATGTTTATTTTTCGATCTTACTTTACTCAAAATTACCGCGGAACGTGTTTGTCTCGTTACGTGCAAAAAAGAAACGTTGTAAAAGTCACTAGGGCGCAGCACTACTGCAGACATCCTTTTTCTCCAGCCAAACAAATGAGCGTCAACTTCTTGTAGTGTTACAGGGTAGTAGCGCGAAGCCACGAAAGTCGCAAATTTTGCAAAAAAAAAAAGAAAGCAATTAGTCAGAAATAAAGGCAAAAACAAAATGCACAAGAAGTTGATGTCGCTGTTGTTTGGTTGCAGGATCTGGATGGCAGGGAGGCAGCCGGCTCGCCGCGTGTGTATTCGTGCATGTACTGCGGCACGACGTTCCAGCATCAGAGCAAGCTCACCCGGCACATCCTCTCCCACTCGCTGGAGAGCCTCAAATACCGGGAGCAACAACACCAGTTGCCACATTGTGCGCTGATGGCTGAATCGTCCCTGTTAGACTTCAGCGGCGGTGTGCCGCGTCCTACCATCGGCCTTCATCATGACCCACCCGATGGGCTGGGGCTTGGTGACGGAGGCCATCCTACACCCATGGACCTAGAGTTAAGCGCCGATGGACCTGGTGTGGTGCTGTGTAAATTCTGCGGCAAATCGTTTCCGGACGTGTCGTCGCTCATTACTCATCTGCCGGTGCACACTGGCGACCGGCCGTTCAAGTGCGAGTTCTGCGGCAAGGCTTTCAAGCTGCGCCATCACATGAAGGACCATTGCCGGGTGCATACTGGTGAACGGCCCTTTCGGTGTACACTCTGTGGCAAGACGTTCTCGCGTTCCACCATCCTCAAGGCGCACGAGAAGACGCACTACCCGAAGTATGTGCGCAAGTTCCTCTCCCCCAGCCCGCTAGACACCGAAGAGGAGAGTCCGCACTAGCACAGCGCCCACCTCCGCCCTGCGGACCTCTTCTGGTGGCTCAGGCAGTGAATCCCGCAAACTCTGAATCAGACTTTTAAACCTGCTGGTGCGACGAATCGTTGCTGACATGATCACTAATTGATTTAGTAATAATAAACGATTATTACTTCATACTGAAATGCTATTTGTAAATATTTGCGATTGTGCGGACGCGCGGTCGACGCGCCCGGCGAGAAGATATTTAATTATACAACACATTTATAGTTCCTTAGACTGATGATCGTGATGATAATATACATATAATGTTATTATATATTATATATAAAACAATGATGATTACGGAGCTTCGTTTTCGTTATCAATACAATGGATGGGAGCACGCGCCTAGCGCTGCGCCGGCGGGACAAACACGTTGACATAAATTGAATTATAATGACGCTTTGAAACGTAGTTTTGAGGGCTTTGTGTAAAATATTAGCTAATTATACATACGGAAAACTGAGAAAGCATACACACCGGTTAATTTTATTCCACAACAAACAATAAATACATTTTTATAGTGTTCATGATAGGGAAGAGTAATGAATGAAATCATATGAAGAAAAATCATGAAAATTGATCTTGAAGTGGTAAAAAATTGAGTAGTAAATTATAGTTGATTGATGGAAGATGCGTTTTGATGATTTTTCTGCTCACAAATAAATAATTAGACATAAATCGCGTTAGCAATCACAAACATAAGTGTAGTATAGATATCAAAACAACCCGGCGTTAAATTTGAATTCTTAATCATTGTTTTAAAATTGCGACATTTTTATTTTCATCTCTTCTTCCGCAAAATAATAATCAGCATTCAAATACATAATCGACTTCGTATTAAATCATTATTCCGCTTTCTGTTTTTAAATAATTAATTAGTTCTTTATACATAATTTGGCTTCTGAGCGGTTTTGATCGTTACACTACACTTATGTGTATTACCCTCTTTGCGGCAGCTATGAATTAATAAACGTGCAACACTCAAGACTCGATTAGCCCGAGTTTGAAAATAATCTCAACACAATCACACACGCTGCGTATGTATGAATATGTAACCAGTAGGCAAAACACACACCCACTCACCCCAACACGCAGAATAAACATGTATAAACAAGTAAACAACAAGTAAGAAAAAAAAAACGTTATAGAATTCAGTGCAGAAGAGTTAAATTGATGAAGCAAACACAAATATTTAAGAGAAACATTTGTAAGAGCTGTGATAGAACCTTAATTAACTTATTGAATATTATAAACATTAATGAACTATAGTAATAATTGATAATGCCGTAAGATGTTAACAGAGAGACAGAGATGTTAAGTAAGTGTTTTATTTAGGCAGAAAATTGCGATGGCAAACGATGGTGCGAATGAAGTGAGAGAAGAAGTTTTCAGTCGATTTTCGATGCTTGAGAAGTCTTTGCGAGGCTGATTGATTTGATTCGATTCGATTTGTTTAGCAGACGACGCGACTCTAAATACGTGCACTCTTTGACTATGACTATGAGTACTAATTCAACCCACCTGATGATAGCTGATTACACACGCCGGTAGTTTAATATATGTTTACAATATCTTTAGATTCGAGCGCATCTATGCATTCCAATTGGAGGGTAGATTTCAGTTCTTAATTTAACGCGCGTCAAACAACATGTCGGGCAGTATTATTCACAGCAGGTTGACACACATGTAATCATTTGATGCGAATCCGTCGAGTTGATATATATCTTGTTTCTTGTTCTTTTGTTCTTGTTTCTGTTTATGTTTTTCTTAAGTTTTTATGTTTAATTGTCTATGATTAGAGAGAATTTTTAAGTACGACTTGTTTGTTTTTTTATCGTCTGCATACTAATATAAATCCCACGACAAAGCAAATTATAGCAATAATTAATAATAAAGAAATGAAGCGAACTGCGAGGCGAGAGATTATAAAGTTCTTATAAAAGTTTATACCTACCACACAAAAAAGCAAGCGTATCTAGAATATTACATAATGCATATATCACGATGAAATCACTGCAGAGCAAAGCAAATCTTCTAGTAAATCTTTGAAATCACACGCGCGTCATTCTCGAACCGATACTGATAACAAACATATACATATTACTACATATTAAGATGAATAATTATTTACTAATTAAACGCTAGTGATATATATTAATATATAATAATGATGATATCTATTATCAGCACCATAGACTTGTAATAAACACGTTTACACATCCGCCGGTCAAGAATAAATTTAAAACGTAAATGTTCATCTGTTGAGATAAACGAATGTTATTCGGAAATACAAGACACACACACACTAAATCCACCATCACCACCACCACCACTTGGTAGTCGTGTAAGAATTATATATTATATATTCGATAACTATACTTTTTGTTTCCTATACTTAATATATACGTGAGAGAGTATATTTATAATATTTTTATAGAGAGAATATATTATTATATTATATATTATATACAACTATTAATACATATGAGAAGATGATGAGTGAAGTAAATAAATGCGCGCCCAATAACAAATGGCAATTGACAATTTTCAAACGAGGTGTAAAAAAATAATCGAAAAACAAAATATTGTCAATCACACAACAAATGCAGAACGAAACGATGAAAAATAATTGTGTACATATTGTAAAGTCGAAGAACACTCGATGATATGAAATAGAAATCGTAAATTTTAAAGGTTCACATAGATCAATGCATCAATTAGTTTGCGAAAGTAATAAGTTGCTTTTTCGTTTGTAAAAATACTAAGAATTGGAATCACATAGCTCTACCTGTAAGTAAAATATGAGAAAATATTACTTACTGAATATTAAATGCAGCAACCGGAGTGCCTCTCGATAAGACTTTTATAATTTGAGGAACAAGTCTGTTTTACAAGACTACCAAAACACATGTATGGACGATTGTCATCTGAGAAATATTAAGATTAGTGTTAAAACACTAAACATTACGAGTCATCACACTAGCGAAAATAATTGGCGATAAAGTTCTATCTCTCACAGACTACAAAAACGATGAAAAGGTGCTGAACCTGTCAAATTTATTGTGAAATTTTAAAATAATTGCGACGCAGTCGTATCAAGTAATTGCGAGTTACTCTAAAATTTAATTCGCGTGTAAAATTCCAAAATGTGCAAAGGCAGTGTTAGTGAGAATGGAGAAAATGAAGGATGTTTAGCGGAGCGAATAATGTTTGCGCAATTGTACATATTTTTAAAACACTTTAAGGAGCAGAAAATATTATATCTCATAGAGATGTATAATGATACTATGGATTTTAAGAACTATTTGACTGAAAAAGCTGCCTTTCGAATTCGAATTATTAAACCAATTGGCTATTTGATATTTGTTAACTAAAATTTACATTAGGCGATACAAAAACTGTGAACAATTTAAAATTGGCATTGTAGATTTTCTCAATTAGACATAAATAAAAGATGCAGATGAAGTCTGTATAAGTCTGTGATGAACACGAACGTGTTTCAAATTACCAATTGGAAAAATATAATCTATTGTTTGCTCAAAATTGCGTTAGGAAAAATTTATTTTGTGCCAAAGGACCGATGATGACTCGTGTTCTCTTGCAAATGAACAAAATTGATTCGAAATATAAATAACCACGACAAAATTTAAAAAAATGAAACAAAGCATGATTTAATATTGCACATAATAGTACTTTTTGCGAATGAATTTGTGTTTAGTATCAAAGGAAATTGTTGTATTTTTTGTTATCAGTGTTGATTAGTAGTAAACGGACATGGTAGCTCAGGGCCACTCACTTCCAATATCAATACATATATTCAATAGAAATCCAGAATTTTTAAATACAATAATACGTTTTGTTTTGCAAGATCAATTGATGGATAAAATGTTTATAAAGTCACTTTGAGGTGTTCGGATTTATGTCGTGCGCACGTTGCTTATGAAAACCCCCTGATGATTAAAACAGTAACTCCTTACATGTAAGTAATACAATAATACCAAACCGATTTGCTCACACCGACTCGATAGATACAGTATTGTTAAGCAGACTCAACGTGATAATAGTATACTGACGAATATATTCTAGTAGCGCCGCCGATATAAAGTTTTTCTACCTGCAAATGCACTCACACATAATTCCACAGAAACCGAACCGGGTAACAATAATGCAATAATTGATACAATACTTATATACAAATAAGAATATAGAAACAAATGTCGAATGTTACGATTACCGTTTTGTATACACACACGTATACTTGCATGAATTAATCGCCTTTGATATGCCGACGACATTTACCTGCATCCTTTTTTTATGAAAACGCCATTAAGTAACGTGCACACGACGTATTTCAATCGCCTCAATGGTTTAATCACTCAAAACGGTTGCGTTCTTTGATTTGATCTGACCTATAGAACTGGTAACGCATGATGCATAATGCAATTAGCAAACACACGCCGAGACGCAGAGCGACCGAGAAACCGGTAATTTTTATGTTTTCCATGTTACAATAGCGAATAAAGCGGGAACGCGGAAATGTATGATTTACAGGCGCAGCACGTACGTGTAGCAATTAATTACGTCTGTAATGATCTAACGATCGATTAATGATCTATTAATTACGATATGATTGAGTGCCAACTACCGATTTTGACTAAACATTCGTTGCGATTTAAGCCGGCTGATGTTTTGTGAAAGGACGACTTGATGAACTAGTATCGTTAACGATTAAGTTTAAACTCCCATGTTCCTGTAGTATTTTACGACGCATCATCAACTAAGTTAAAGTAATTCAAAGGTGAAGTTCTAGCACTCGATCGAGGTTATGTTTAATTGATACTATGAATTTGTTTAATGATACGCGACAACACTTTTATTACCTGCATACAAAGTATACGTTTGTTTTGTTTATACGAATTTATGTTTTCTAGAGGTTACATAACAATAAAGATTCTCATTAATTTAACTGATAGTTTGGTTGTAGATGTCAAGTCCTTCTTTCAAGCAAGCGATATATTTATTCATCTACAGTTCCTGTTAATTATTGAATTAAACCGGTAATATAACGACGATATCTTACCACACGATGATTGACACAAATCAAGCAACAAACAAGCAAACGATAGCAATATAAATGTATTAATAAACCAATAAAGCTAAATGATAAGTACCGACTCTGAACATAAGGACATTAAACATAAAAAGCTGATTAAACAGATTAAGTTTAAGTCTGCAATGATTATAAAAAAACGATTATGATCTTACTTAGTTGAGCGAAAACGTAGGCAATCTTGTAGTAGCTTTCAGTGCAGGATTACGGAGAGGACGCTCGATTAGGATTCCTGCTGTTAGTGAAGATGTTGGAGATCAGATGCATAGTTACCCTCTATTAACAATATTAACGTTTATTGCACGAGAACTTTTCATATTCAATTGTTGCAAGAAACTAATTTTCGTTATGGTTCTGCTCTCACGAATGAGAATACAATTATTGAATACACGCATGTATAATGGAGATCCCTTTCGAGTTCGTCGCTTGTATCATTAGTTGAAGCTGTAATTGAAAAGAAAATAATAATTTATAATCAATGATTCACTGGCACGGTGTTGTAAATTTATGTTCAAATGATTAAGTTTTGTCTGGAGGAAGTGTTACATGTTTATAGAGAATTGAGGATGTGTGCGGAGAAGTAGACGAGATTCTATGAATATTTGTTGTATTTATTGTTTGCCATGGATTACTGAAACCCTGAATTTGTAACGACGAGAAACTGCAAAACATTATGCTTATTGTTTTTAAACAAAATGCATATCATAGTTGTATAAAAATAAGATTTTGACAAATAAAACCTGATGAAAAATTATACTAATTATATTTTACGAATGACCTTAACTTATTTTCGTAGGAAATGTGGCACCGATTGAACTAATTTTTAAATTTCATGTTTCAGATGTCGGTAGTCGAAGTTGAAAGGTGTTTCAGTTCTCCATGTTTGGATCGTCCGGCTTCGGCTCATTCTTCGCGCTCCTCAACCCCATTTGGTCTGCCATACGCTTCTTTGGCTACCTCCCTGCTTGAAGTAGGCCTAATGCATCCTGCACTGATCGGCGAAGAGATGTTTCGCTGCACCGCTTGCATGGCGGCTTTTCCGTCAATCTGGCTTCTCGAGCAGCACACCGCCCTCCAACACATTGGCTCCCTGACCTCGATTGACAAACCCTTCGTCTGCGAACAGTGTGGACAAAGCTATCGGTACCGCTCAGCTTACGTTAAGCACCGCGAACAAAATCATCGTGCTAGGCTCCCTGCAGATAAATTGTTTTCTTGCGATGTCTGCGGCATGCAATTCCGGTACTTGAAGTCATTCAAGAAGCATCGTTTGAATCACGCTTTGGAACGTCTTCATGGAAAAAGTTCTGAAGCTATGGGTGCTTTAGAAAGGGAGAGGGAGAATACCCACAGGGAGAGAACCAATGTGTTGGATTCAACGATTATACGAGATATCATGCCGCCCATGGTAGAAAACAGCAGTGACCAGGTGTCATCGTCCAACGAAACTCTTCCCGTCGAAGATCAAGATACCGCCCATGAAGTGGACGTAGATGTAGAGGTGGTCATCAAGCAGGAGACCATGTCTGATGAAATTGCCGAACCTTCTGAACCAGCTGAGAATGAAGCTGATGCAGAAGGGGAAGCTGAACAGGATGATACCATCGACTCGTTCTCTCTTTCAACTCTGCCCGCCAGCTCTTCGGAAGCCTTCCGCTCTGCTCAAGAAGCGTCCATTTTGAGCTTCCTCCGCGCCGATGCGGCCGAA